AAGGCCGCGATAGAGCTGACGCTCATACCCATACCTAGGTACGTGCCGATGTCTCGGGGGTCTTTGGGGACTTCCGTAAGTGCTGCAGATGCCCCTGAAATGACAGTTCCGGTGCTAAATCCGATAGCGATAGAGTATACCACCAACGCTGCGGTTGATTCGGTTTTGTTCCAGCAGAATATAACAATACTGGTTATAATTCCCCCGAATGCGAACATATTTAGTCGTCCGAATTTGTCGGCCAGTACACCCGGAATGACGCGGCCAAACGTGGAAGCCGCATTTATGATCGCCAGAAGATAAGAAGCGAGTGTTGGGTCCATACCTCTCGAGACTGCGTACGTCGGGATGTAGAATAGTGGTACGAATGTCCCGAGAAGCATGAAGAATAGCGCAATTGTCAAGAGAATAAATTTCGTTTCTTTAAAGGCCTGCCAGACGAAGAAGGTAGTCGTCCTAGGCGGCAGACGAGATGTGATGGCCACACATGCAAATCCAAGGAGAGGAATGGTGACGAATCCAATAATTCGTACCGACCAGCCAAACCCGAGAGAGGTGCCGTTCAGCATCTTAGACAAGGCAATAGGGAAAATGACTCCGCCGAGAGACGACCCAGCAATTGCTATCCCTAGGGCCGCTGCTCGCTTCTTATTAAAGAATTGAGATAACGCTGCCATGGCCGGGAATTGAAGAAAACCCATAACAGTGCCCATCAAGACACCTTGAGCCAGCATGAATTGCCAGTATTCTCTGCATAAGCTCGTCATCATAATGGAAAAGACATACAGGACCATAGCTGGTCGGAGCACCTGGGTAAGCTGTTAATATACTAATTAGTATCTTAGGAAGTTAAGGGGATACGAACCCATGCGCCAAACCGATCAAACAACGGTCCGCCAATGTTTCCCGATAGGAACTGGAGGGCTACGGCTAGAGATCCAATCCATGCCACTTTATCCGGCGATTCTCCGTTGAGCTGATGTGACAGATAGTACTCCTCGAAGACCCCAAAGGCATTGGAGAAGCCCATAGCCGAGAAGAAAACGCAAGCGGCTCCGGCTGTGACGAGCCATGCTCGAAGCCCTCCGTCAGGGGCTTCGAGAAGGTTGGTGGTCGCATTCTCTTGTCCGAGCTCTACGGAAGCGATCGAATCCTTTTCTCGGCTTTCTATCTCTGAAGTAGACATTTTCGTGATAGTTCGTGTCGTTATACAGTAATACGTCTCGGGGTTGGACGATAAGGGGTTCTGGCAGTCCGTGAGACTTTGTTGGCTTCAATTATGCTACTGTAGAAAACCAAATATCATATTCACGAGCCAGAAATGAGGGAGGATTCATCATATATAAATACGATTTACTAATTTAGGACTTCTCAATTTTCTATTTCTATTCTAGTTCTACCTAATAGTGAGCAATCGTATACTCTAGAGGCTCCATCGGGGATAAAATAAAGGCGGCATGAATTCGGTGTCGGAGATCGGAGTCGGCAAATTCGTAGACCGAAAAAAGTTGAAGATGAACGACAAACCGAGATCATTTTACTCGTAATAAACTTATCCACCTTAATATTTTTCATACCGGTCGAAAAGGAATACCCCGGGACTCTTCAGTGGTTACTATGGCCGAGACCGAACGCCGGCGGAGACGACCACCAATGTATGTTCATTTAGAAGCCCTTAAGCAAGCTAGGACTTGGCGCTGACAGCAGCGCGACGCCTCATCGCGTACAGCTCGTGTGTTCTCTGTAGAAGGCGCAAGATACGATGTAATCGGGAGAGCCCATGCAGTAATTGTGTGCGCTCCAAAAATGCAAATTGCATCTATGAGAATCATTTTTCTCAGCCTCAGCAGGCGACTGAGCTTCACAGCTCAATCTCACCACCCATCGCAGCGGTAGCAGCTCCGAGTCTCACGTCTAAGTCACCTCCTAGGGCAGCTAGCACAACAACTGCATCAACTGCCGCCAGTTACCAATCCTCCCAAGATATTGAGTTTTTAAAAAACAAGATTAAACAGCTTGAAGAACGGTTATCACAATCAAATCGGACTTCCCAGTCCCCTATCCAGACCCCCGGTTCTAATATAGAGGCTATCTCATCGCGTATCGGCGGCACATTCTATGTCCATCATGAAGACCCCTTAGCTGGCCAGCCTCAGAACATCTCCCGTAGTGTTACACATAAGAGCCGAATGTTCGGCCAGAGCCATTGGATTACTGGAATGTCCTTAGTATGTTATTCGTGTTATTTACCCTGTTCAGTCGATAAGGGTTTTGACAATGATTAGGTGCGAGACATTCTGAACTTGATCGAGCCTCATGTGCATGAAGACACATGTAAGATCACTACTCTCATGGTAAAATCTAAGTCTCTGGCAAGGACTATTAAGGCACAACGGACCCCACATTGGCCTTCGCCATTAAAACCGGATCTGCCCCCGAAAGATATTGCCGACGAGCTTGTCGACCGGTATCTTCAGACAACCGAGACTATATATCGAATACTTCATATCCCCAGTTTCAAAAGAGATTATGAAGCTCACTGGACGTCAAATACAGAACCCAATACGGCGTTCCTAGTTCAACTGAAATTAGTACTAGCAATCGGAGCTACTACTTACGATGAGAAATTCACTTTGCGAACTTCCGCTATGCAATGGGTTTACGAAGCCCAAACTTGGATTTCCGAGCCCGGATTCAAGCATAGACTAAATCTTCAGTTTTTGCAAAATAATATTCTCCTTCTACTAGCTCGAGAATTCGCCGACGTTGGTCCAGACTTAGTATGGATCTCAGCTGGTACGCTCGTCAGGATTGCGGTGTACATGGGGTTGCATAAAGACCCTACACGCCTCCCCAAGGTATCGACTTTCACTGCAGAGATGCGCAGGAGGTTATGGAATACGATACTAGAAATATCTCTGCAGTTGAGTTTGGTTTCAGGGGGGCCACCGTTTATCTCTATGGACATGTTTAACACCGAGCCCCCTGGAAACTTCGACGACGAGCAACTGGCGGTTGAGGATCCTCCACCAAAACCAGAAGGTCATTTTACTCAAACATCTATAGCTATAATTCTTCGAAAGATATTTCCAGCTCGCCTCGCTGTCGTAAAGTTCTTAAACAACCACGGTTCATCCGGTACATACAAGGAGACACTACGATTAGATGCAGAATTAAGGGCGTCCTACAAGGCCGTACTTCGAACTCTTCAAGGATACAAGTCAACCACTGGATCGCAGCCCTCAGAGTTCGCGATGGATGTGATGAGCCTCCTGATGAACCGCTACTGCTTATCCCTCCATATTCCGTTCTTCGTCCCTGCGATGGATGAGGCCGCTTACGCGTTTTCTAGAAATGTAGTGGTCGAAACTTCGCTTAAGATTTGGCGTGGAGTATTTCCTTCGCCACTTACCCCAACCTCTCATGACACAGTTCTACCGAATCGGCACTATTTAGCTCGACTCGTAGTCTGTGCTTCGGGCTTTTTTCGGATCAGTGCCCTCCAGGCGAGCGTCCTCATAGCGTCAGAGCTTATGGGCCAACTACGAGAAGAAGAAACTTTGGGGCTCGGACTAGTACGGCAGGACCTTCTGTCCGTTGTTGGTGAGGCAAAAACCTGGGCCTGGAAGTGCATTGAGGCTGGGGAGACTAGCGTCAAAGGCTACTTTCTCGCAAGCCTCCACGCAGCTCAGATCGAGGGGCTCATGAAAGGCCTCGAAAGAGATGAGCTTTCGAGATTTGTGGTCAAGGAAGGGGAGAAAGCTGAAGAAGAGTGCTTCCCATTACTTGAGGAAATGCTTGCTAGGGAAAAACTCGAGGGTTCCACTGGAGCACCTGAGCAAACCACGCCGTCTCAAATGGTAGAAGATTGGGATTTGACCGTAAGTAAAGAACCGCCACCATATCTTAGGTACTTTTGCCACTAAACGCCTCTGCTAGATGTCAGACGCCCTATTCGATTTTGGGGAGACGGAACTCGTAAATTGGGGCTTCGACGAAAACTACCAAGGACTATCATTTAATTGAGAGGTTGGTAGCCCATCGCTCATGGCCGCAAACGAACTTTCGGTCCGACACCTGATAAAGTTAGCAAATGGGAAGTAATGGCTTCTATCCACAAATCCTCTTCGCATGCGCAGTGTCCCAGTGTCGATTTCTAGGCCTCGGCATCTACAGTAAGTTTGACTCATTGACTTGCGTGGCTTATCCAACGTCATCAGTGCTAACGTATCTTCTAAAATGTTTAAAGAGAGTTCGGCCTCAAGCGCATATGACCTTAGGTTAAGCCGTAAAAAGTATTGGGTTACAGGCGGTTATTCCTTTAATCAACCTTAAGTACGCCCGCCACCGCCATGGCCCATTGCTAAGTCCATAGGCCGCACGGGATGCCACAATAGCCCGAATTTATACTTCTATGACACGGCTAGAAGCTTAGGTACCTAGATACCCTCAGCACCCTGGATACCTAGCACCCTTAGCACCCTCACCCTCGATTTAGCACCTAAGAGGAGGGCTTCGCACCTGGCAAAGGGCTCGGCACCTTGGAAGAGGATTTGACACCTAAAAGAAGGGCTTAAGGCAATATGTATTTCGAAAAGAAAAATATGAAAAGATGAAAATGGAGACTTGGTACGATCTATCCATATTTGAAGAATGCACCCAATAAAAAGCGTTAAAAGGCCGCGTATAGACGAGCTTCCTATTTCGAAAAACGTCGCCCGAGACAACATCCCCTCATAAATTCGTGCATAGATATAGTGTTGGGTTGGTATTACGTTCAGAATTTTAAAATGCACACAGGCCTCGCCTATGCGAGATGAACGACTGGTAGAGATGTCTGTCTTTTAAGCAGCAAATCGAAGCACTCACCATTTCAGTATTACAATTTAATTAGGGAAACAAACGTAGATAGTACTTCATCAGAAGTGTTCTTAATATGTAAGGTTCGAAATGCGATAATATTATAATGATGCATTTACTGTTTTCTACTCAATATAGTATATAGGTAAAAGATAAATATATTTGGATCTACTCAAGTAGAGGTACGACCAGGCCCATAAGGGGCATGAGAGCTAAGTATATTAGGTACAGTATTGGTTGAAGAACCACCCAAACGCCATGCTTTCGCGCCAGTCCTAGCAACTCCCTCACTGCATGTACCTGATAGTACACTGGGCCATGAACCCGGCGCTCTGGTAGCAGTACCAGTTTGCGGCGTCGCCCATGATAGCGCCAACGAAGCACCTCTTGCACTGTAACAACGAGTTAATAATTACTTCTTCCGTTGGGGCGTAGATATGTCTCGGGGTAGTAACCCTCGTGCCCACGACTAGGAAATCTTGCATGTAGAGACAAGGTAAAAGGGGAAGGGGAAGGGGAAGAGAAGGGAATAAACTATCCGTATCACTTACAGCGTTATAGCAGTCGTCCGGGTTCTTCCACCAGAGACCCCAAGCCGTGAAGTAGCGCGAGGTACCATTGCAAAGGGTCCACTCCGGCACCCACTCGCCTGCCTGAACCATATCGTTAAAACATTGCGTCACAGGCTCCTTCTCCTCCTCCGTCAAGTTCGTCCCGGGTACGGTGTCCCGTCGACAGTAGCTGTTGTTGTCGATAGGATCATTTGGTGGCCAGTTGCGTGGGCCGACAGAGGGAGGGTCATACGGGGGAGGAGCAAGGCTATAAGGAATCGCGCCTGCGACCATGTCTTCATATGCGCCATCCGACACGTTGCTCAGGTCTATGGCGCTGCCTGAGGGTTGTATGGGGGTGGAGATACCCCTGACAGCGAATAGTAGAGCTGCGAGAGCTGATGAGAAGTGCATGGTGTATGAGATAGCGTGAGAACAAGAAACGTGTTTTCTCTTTCGCTTGAAACCTGAGGAATTATAGCTGCGAGAATAGCTTGATATTGAGGTATATGTGTGTTCGTGCGAAATTGCGTGGTGAATTGAATGAAACCAGGAGAGATTTTACAGTCGACGGAACCCCCTCCCCTTATGGACTATTTATATAAGGCGAAGGCATCAGGGAGCCCCAACCGTTTCATCAAAGTTATGTGTTGAAGACGCCGCTTAACCATATAGTACTTAAAGGTTTACCTAGAGTCCATGCGATGACTCATGCGTCGAGATCGATAGTTCGAGCTACTGATTCTAGCTATAGTTTCGTAGTACACTGATATCACCTTTATTGTCTATTAGTTCTCTGCCTAATCAAAGCTGAACTTAGTATCGCTTTGACATCCCCAACAACTCATTTTGCATGAAGAAAAGTCTGGTCTGGGGCTATGATTGTGATGATACGAATGTCTGTGACCTAGCCACGAACCTTAGCCATGTAGCCACCTGAGCTTACCTGAATAAGGGAATCGTAGGATCAATATTAACATTTACACTTGACATTATTCACCGTAGGGCAAGAATTAGGATAAATCATTATAAGACCTTGGACAAACTCGGCTAGGCTTGCGGAAAGAGGTTGAGTCACATAGCAATTCAGCATTACCAGGTGTGGTTGTGCCCTCAATTTATTGAGTTCTGATTCTCAGCATAGTGCAACGGCAATAGTTACAGTAACTTGTAGCTAACCGGGCCCTTTCAGTACATAGGCCTTATTCCACCTCAACTCAACGTCAACTCAACGGTAACTCAACTACGACCAACCCAGCCAGCCTGGCAACAATGCTCAAATCCGGCGGCAGAACCTCCAAAAGGGGTTGGGGTTCGGAGGGAATTATAATCTTACATTACAAGTTTTCTCTCTTAAAAACTCTGCTACTATTGGGCATATCCCCTCTCAGTAACAGGCTTAGGGTCACTGAGCAAAGCAAGCAAGCCAAGCTACTCGAGGATAACAAGACGTTAGTCATACTCCTGAGAATATGCGGAGATTAACGTGTCTTGGCAAGTTGGAGTATTTATCCTTCTATTCCTCTTCGGAGTCGCTTTCCTCCTCACTTGACTCCATGGGTCTGCTGTCATCAACTTCAGGAAGAGGTTCTTGACTTCCACTACCGTGGCGCTGAAGTTGAGCTTTAAGCTCACGGAGTTGCTCAATCTTACGTTCCTGCTCATGTTTGTTCATCGGCTTATTCTTCTTGGCCTTAGGAGGCGGCGCACTGGGCTTCGCTTTGGGTTCCACCTCGACAGGGCGGCTAAATTCTGGCTTCTTCTCAAGTGCGGTGCGAATGGCAGGATTGGTCCTGTTGATCAAGTCGTAGAGTCTTCGGAGGGCTTCATCGGACAGGGCATCTATGTCCAGTTCCATCTCACCGTCGTCATTCTCCTATAATAATTGTCAGTGCTGGTCTCAAACAGGGCAAAACAACCGCTAGCACAATATGTAAGAGGGTAAGATGAGTAGAGATCCAGACGCTTACATTCTGACCAGTATCCTTCTTGATAATGTCAACGGCCTTTGTCAAGGTTGTACCGTCGAGCTCATTGATTCCCTCTGCGATAACCGCCTTCTCTAGCGCACCAACTGGCCGGGGCTTGGGGGCCGCCTTCTTATGGCTGGTATGATGGCTGGTCGTCTTTTTGGTGGTATTGACATTTCCAGACGCTGCCTTTTTGTGACCTGTGGCTGCTAATCCACTACCCGCGGACTTTGGCTTGCTCTTGGTGCTCTTCTTCTTCGACTTCGGTTTCTTTTCCTCACTATGAAACTTGGTTCTCTCCTCTACAAGTTTTCGCTGGAGCATCGAAACCATCGACTGCTGAATCTCAATCATTGTAAGGTCTGGTTTCTTTGATCCAAGAAGAGTGTTCAACTTGTCTTGCTCCTCATCTAAGCGAACCTGGAGGTTACGGACCGCTTCGCTATTTTGTTCATCCTCAGCCTCTGCTTCGCTCTCGTCTTCGGACTCGTGAGCGCTTCTCACTGGGCTACGAGCAGATACATTTGCCGTAGACGGCAACTCCGGAGGATAATGACGCTTCATCCACTGATCACGTTTCGAGATTTCGGACTTGAATAGCTCCTCTAAGCGTCTTGCGAGCATGGTAACATCGTGATGTTGGCCATTAAAGAGCTCGGAATTGTGAACGATAAGTTTCATGTCCTTCTCCAAATCCTTCACCGTCTTGTAGTCGCCATCGTAGTTCTTCTGTGTCATGGTGGCAAGGTCCATCGGTTTCTTAACAATACTAAAGTACGTCGGGATATTCAAAGCCACGGGGTCCACTGGTGTGAGAAACCACTGATTCAGCGCGTAATGTTTCCCCTTCTTGATCTCGTCCAAAACGACTTCGAAGAAACGCTGCTCGGGTTCTAGCTTCTTGCGGCTGGCTGAACCATAGTCAAGATCGCGGTTCTTTGGAGGATGTATCGGACGTTTGGGTCTGTCACTGTCTTCTCGTGTGGAATCGCGACGGATTTGGGGGATACCATTCGGGGGAATCGCAAAGGCTGGCGCCGAAGACGAAGCAGATGCTGGCTGCGCAGTTTGTACGGCCTGTGTAGGGGTCGGCTTCGGCTTGGGGCTCGCAGCAGATGGGCGTGACGGCTGTGATTGCGATTGTCGCCGAGGCTGGGTTGCTGCACGAGGTTCTGGATGTCGGGTTGCAGGATTCTTGCCCTTCTCAAGTCTGGCAGGTTCTTCCATTTTGGAAATATCTGGCAGGCGTCCAAGTATCTGATCTCTTACTGCACCTGCGGCTATGGTAATGGGATTATTTTCGCCATTGAACGTAAGAGAATTTTCGTACAATAGTTGTATATCGGCCTTCAATGCGCCATAATTAGCGTACTTGTCCTCGCGGAGCTTCGCCTCAAACAGAGAAATATCCACTGGATTCTCTATCTTGGACTTGTAGTCATCCCATAAAATTGGCCACAATCGTTCTACAGGCTGTCTAAAATTAAGGCCGTTTTTGGTCTTCTTGATACCGGCCAAGACTTGCCTTATCTGCCTATTCTGGAAAGGGGTGATGGCTTGGCCATCTTGCTCTCGATCAACACTCTCTTTTGGCTGTGACGCGGGAGGGGGCCCACTTGCGACAACTAACGAGTCAGCCGTAGGTCCACTCTGATCTTCTTCTGTTTTCGCACGTTTTGCCGCTCGCTCGTTGTCGGCATCTTCGTCACGCTCTCGGGGAACTTTGACTGCGGACACAGGCTGGTCGGCCATAGGCGTGTCGAGCTGAGAGGCAGTAGTGTCAGGTTGAGTACCCTTGATATCCAATTTGGCAAGACTTGCCGATGGCTGACCTAAATCCTGAGATGACGCAGGCGCTGGCGTATCGTTGGGAGGCTTGTTTTCTGTGCTCGTCTCGGGTTTGGTGATCGATTCTTCGTCGATCTGCTGTTCTGAGATATCCACATCCATCGAATCTACAGGTTTCTCGGATACTTCTTCGTTCGGTACTGAATCTCGAGTCGCAGAACTCTGCTCCGTCTTGTCAATATTCTCGGATGTTGAAGTAGGGACGGCTTCTACATCAGCTTCTGCTGTTGGAGACGAGTCTTTCACGGCCGACGCGCCATTAACATCGGGCATATCGGTATCATCGGTGGACCGGGGGTCAGAGTGCGATTTAGTCGGCGTTTGTTGGGAAATACTGTTGTTTGCAGTAAAGGCCTTGTCATTCAGCGACTTATCAGCGCTGGCAGTTGCCGAGTCTGCCGATTCGGCAGTGCCATTAACAGCAGGCTTGTCGTCAGACTTGGGCTCGTCTTGACCAGATTGAGAATGCCTGTTCAAAGTACCGTTTAGCATCTCGATATAATGAGCGCATAATTGTACTCACCCATTAACTACTCCCGCATCCGACTCATTAATCGATATTTCCTTATCTGCTACAGGACCAGCGACTTTCTTATCTACCGGTAAGGTTTGAGGTTGCTCGGTCGCCATAATTGCCATCCAGCTACCTTGAGGGGTCGAGATGCAACTGGTTCAAGGTGATGTCGATATTGTGAAGCCAGAAACCCGAATTTCTCGCATGAACCTAAGAATTGGGTCTAATAAAAACTTATGGTCAGATATGAATATTTAGACACGGCTTGTATGATGCGGTTAAAGAGATGGTAAACAGAGACGCAATATTGGGATTCTCTCATAAAAGGTATCAACCGAGACGCCAGAATGATGCAATTGCGACTACTTAGTAGTGTAAGAGCCGGGATGAACCTACCTTTTAGTCTTGCAGGCGAAAAGGTTTCTGGGTAATTACGACTGCGGCTGGTAGTCAGTAACGAAGGTAATAAAAAAGACGATTAAACGCAATAACGAGCAAGTGCAAGGCTGCAATTTTGAACGCAAGGGATATGTAAAAGTGAGAGTAAATAAAAGAATGATAGGAGTGGTATTGATTTTGGGCGCCAGAGAAATTTGGCGATATCGTGATGGATGTTTGCTTTGCGCCGCGATGCGCTACGCTACGCGGACTTGCGACATGCGACAGTTGTGTATGCGAGAGGGCCAGTCGCAAGGTGGCCGGCCAATGAAAACAGGGCTGGGAAAGATTGGGGGATTTCTGGGTGCAAGGATGAGGTGTAAGTGCTATCGGGACGGTACGCCTTATATCGAGACTTATCCAAATCTGCGCATCTTCTCATCGGTATCAGGCTGTGAAACCAACTCGATTATGGACGCGCAAGTGATCAGTGTGGTCAGAGCGCGTCAGCAGCCAATGATACTTTAACAGCGGCTCTTTCCTAAGTATCGGGATGATTTCTATCAAAAGTCCAGGAGCGCGTTCTTCGACTCCTCTAAGTCCAAGACGAGTAGAGGAGTTGACAAACGTTGACTTGAGGCGCCGGGGCAAACGAGATGGGTTCGCCGTGTACGGCTCAAATGCAGGGCAATGTTGCAACCTTGGCGACGACCAGACAAATGATAGTAGGGATGAGGATAGTGGTGTAGTGCAAAACGTAACATAAGGGATAGGCAGAACAAGGAATCTTTGATAAACTTACCTTCAACTTTGAAAAAAAAATCAAAGACGCGCCAGCTCGCGTCGAATCCCGGATCCAGGTTTTAAAAAAAAGGATGGCGATGGGCAAGACAAGAGAGGAACGAGTAACCCACGTGGCGATTACGACCAGACGATAGAGTAGTAAAGCGACAGTGAATGAAAGTCACTCTTGTACTACTAGACGAATACTGGCAAGGTGAGGCGCAATGCGCGTTGGTCGCGGGAATGAAAAAGTAGTGGAGATTTGTTTGGTACGTTGAACTGAATCAGACCAAACAAATAATAGTAATATGGCGATAACCTAGTATCGTTGATAATTTAACGACGACGAGGTTCACGAAGAGCCGATAAAAAACGGACTTCGCGATGGTAGTAGATGCGCGCAGGTGGTCAAAGCGGTAGTGGTCGCGATAGTTACTTGATACTACCGTTTTGGGGGAAGGACTGGAATGAATAAAAACTTAAAATATTAAACAACGAATCGACGAGC